ACACAGAGATTCCAAAGACAGCTTGATGACCTTTTTTATTTACAAAACGTAGTAACTCCCCCACTGACCTCTCAATCTATACCTTCTCTTTCCTGGTATAGTCCAATAACTCCCAGAATCCAACTCTACATTCTTTACAGTTTTTAAAAATTATTTTAAATTCTACAAGTCATACATGAATGTACTTAGACTGTACTTTAGATAAGGCTAAAATCTCCTTTTAGATACTCACCCCCGCCCCCAATTCCAACCCCCATCTGCATCAGAGGTAGCCATTATTAACAGTGTATATGTAACCTTTCAAAACCTTTATTCATCAATAGAAAATACTTGTTATTTTCTGTTCTGTTTTTTACCAATTGCCATTATAAGGTATGTACAATCTTGCAACTTGCTTTTATTAAGTTGTAAGAAATTCTAGGGTACACATATTCATTTATGGAGGCTAAAAGATTAGTGGAAACAATGGTGGACACACAGCAGGTTCTAAGAACCTGTGCACAACCATGAAATTTTGGGTATGTTACTAACTTCACTATCCTCATTTCTGAATAATCCTCCATCTCCCTCTCTTACAGGTTTTGTGTACAAACTAAATGAAGTAATATGTGTGTGTGCTTTAAAAGCTGTGCAGTTTTATATATAAATAAAATGCGATTTCTTAAATATTATCTGGAAAATAAAATCAGGTAGTGCTACTATTCTAAAACTATATACTATAGGTATTTAACTCAAAATTTTAACCAAGAAGTGCCACAATATTGAAACATTTAGCTAGTGGCATAGCATTCCTAGCTTTGAATGCTTCATTGGAAGCATTACATCAAAGGTTTAATCATGAGAAAATAAATTTGCATGTAAGCTCAAGTTATTAAACTGTTTACAAATTTGATTCAATTTTTAATTCTGTGAGCTTCTGTGCTTGATTCCTAGAGTAAATGAACAGCAGCCCTAATGTATTAAAACAGTTAGAATAACTAAATCCGAAAACAGATTTGCAAAACTATGACATTTAAAAATATTTTAAAATGTATCCCAAATCTACTATTTTAGTAAAAACAACTGTGTAAATTATTTCAGTTTAAGTTACAACTCTTTTTAGAAAAATGCTCTTTATAAGATATAAGCCTGGAAGGTCTGCATTTTAAGTAAATTCAGACATTAAGATTCTTGGGGGAAATAGTTAAAAAAGAATGCACTACAAAGTCCCCCTCATTTCTAGTTTTTTTCAATAACAAACAATATCACCTTCACCTAAACTGAAAACTGCCATGTATTTGTTCTGTTTGCTTTTCATTATGAATTACTCACTTTTAGTGGGGAGGAGGGAGCTGGGGGTTCAGAGAAGGTTTTGGGGGAGTGACATGTTTTTCAACCTTTCCAATTTCCTTTATTTGAAACACATTACTTCACACTATTTCTTCAGCATCTCCAAGTTCAAAGGGCTACCTAATTTTCACTGCTTAATATGAAAACAAAAAAGAACCATGGGCTCAACAACATTAATCATTAGAGAAGTGCAAATCAAAACTACACTGAGATATCATCTCACACCGGTCAGAATGGCCATCATCAAAAAATCTAGAAACAATAAATGCTGGAGAGGGTGTGGAGAAAAGGGAACACTCTTGCACTGTTGGTGGAAATGTAAATTGATACAGCCACTATGGAGAACAGTATGGAGGTTCCTTAAAAAACTAAAAACAGAACTACCATACGACCCAGCAATCCCACTACTGGGCATATACCCTGAGAAAGCCAGAATTCAAAAATAGTCATGTACCAAAATGTTCATTGCAGCTCTATTTACAATAGCCAGGACAATGGAAGCAACCTAAGTGTCCATCAACAGATCAATGGATAAAGAAGATGTGGCACATATATACAATGGAATATTACTCAGCCATGAAAAGAAACGAAATTGAGTTATTTGTAGTGAGGTGGATGGACCTAGTGTGTGTCATACAGAGTGAAGTAAGTCAGAAAGAGAAAAAGAAATACTGTATGCTAACACATATATGGAGTCTAAGAAAAAAAAAAATGGTCATGAAGAACCTAGGGGTAAGACGGGAATAAAGACACAGACCTACTAGAGAAGGAACTTGAGGATATGGGGAGGGGGAAGGGTAAGCTGTGACAAAGTGAGAGAGTGGCATGGACATATATACACTACCAAATGTAAAACAGATGGCTAGTGGGAAGCAGCCGCATACCACAGGGAGATCAGCTTGGTGCTTTGTGACCACCTAGAGGGGTGGGATAGGGAGGGTGGGAGGGAGGGAGATGCAAGAGGGAAGAGATATGGGAACATATGTATATGTATAACTGATTCACTTTGTTATAAAGCAGAAACTAACATACCATTGTAAAGCAATTATACTCTGATAAAGATGTTAAAATAAATAAATAAATAAATAAATAATAAATAAAAGAATCACAAAGGGCTCCCAGAGGGACCTGGTTTGATTTGGAAAATGACTAAATTGGCAAACACACCTCTCAATGGGAGGTGTCACTATTGTCTCCAGCAGCCCTAGAAACGAAGTCTCAAACACACGGAGTCATAAAAAAAAAAAAAGAACGGGAAAGTACTGACGTATATACATATATGTAAAAAATATTACATAAAGCCATAACATTTTGGGGGGTGTCAATGTGATCATAGCAAGATAACTCAGAGCTGAGTTAAGATCCTGAAACACAACTAAGTCAGAGTGATTTCCAAGTACATTCATGTCTGAGAAGGAAGGCGGGGCAGATGGAACATGTATCTAATGTCTACCTTTTAGATGCCAAGAGTGAAGGTGAACTGTAAGAATTATCTGAGGTCAATTTAATCCAACTCTAAATTATAAATCTAAGTGAACATACACATTTAATGAATTAGTGGAATAAAGTAGATTATAAAAGTCTAATTGTATAAATCAGAACAATGAGTCATATGACAGTTTTAGGACCCATTTTAATGTTTTATAGTTTGTGCCAATTTCTCTAAATAGAGAAATTCTGACCACTGGTACTTCAGATTTTCACTCATAGGAAAAAGTAAGCAATAACACAATGACAGATGCTCAGACTAGGTACACAAAAATGAGAGAAATGAAAATTATAACTATCCATTCTACAAATTAGGTGAACAGCAGAAAAAGCACATGGAATCTCAGAAGACCACAGGCTCCCAGCCCTAGCTTCAATATACTAAAACATTTTGGATCACAGTTTCTTCAAATATAAAATGAGGAGGTTGGACTATATCTTCAATGTTCTCTACAGCCTATGATATTTCATGGGAAAAATTTCATAATGGTAGTGGGTTTATAAAACCTATGATTTGAATGCCAAAAATGGTAACCTGGGAAATTTTAATGGCTTGTGGAATATTTATTGCTGTCAACTAATTTTTTTTTTCAAAAACCATTTTTTTGGGGTCTGGCTACAGAAATAATTACACGTTATCTGTAGGCAATGTGGAAAATAGAGACAAACCCAACTAAGAAAAAGAATGACCTATAATCACTACCCAAAGATAACCTGATCTGTTAACATACCTGTTTCCATATCTATTGTTATATCAATTACTGTAATGTATTGAATCCAGTGGTTTTCAAATTTTTTTATGCGCAGAATCATTTTTTTCTAAAGAAAATCTCACATGTAACATTAATATGTACAAGAAATAAAAGTGAAAATACTCTGAAATGGTGATGAAGGGCCAGGGTTTTTCTGAGGTGATTGTCAACACACTTCTATGGAACCCTGTACTCAAACAAGTACTGCTTTAAAACCATTGACTTAATTTCCCAATGCTGGACATTTACACTATTTCTGTGGTTTTGTTTGTGTGTTTGTTTTTGCTTTTATAAATAACATTCAGATCTTTGTGCACAGTCATGGTTATTTCCTTAGGATAATTCCTGGAGGCTAAGTTTCTGGATCAAATGGTTTTAAGGTATTTATTGTCATACCAGCTTATCCTAAGGATCACCCATTGTACAGTATAATCGTAGGGATAATAAATTTTAGCATTGGAGGAGGTTAAGGTTTTGTAAGTAGTCGGTGCCGTATGTATTTGATACTATTCCTAACAAGGATAATCGGCTTCGCAGGCTGCGAACAGCAGTAGGATGGTTGGTATTATGCTGGCTAAGGTAAAGTGTGAGTTTAGGATTATTAGGGTTGCCATGATGAACAGTGATAATATTATGCCTTCTAGACATAATAGTGAGGACATTAAGTGGGATCGGTATATTAGCAGCCCTACAAGGGATATTGTGAAAGCCATAATAATATTTATGTACACTAAAGACACTTGGTAGTTATGAGTTTAGTCATAATCTAATGAGTCGAAATCATTTGTTTTATTTTAAACTAAATACCATATTCAATTCATCCTAGCCCCTTTTGAGTTCATTCAGAGGCTGGGCTAATTGCCAATAATGAGATTAGAAGTAGAGCTATGGTAAGTATTGTTTTTAGATTATTTGTTTGAGTTGCCCAGGGGAGGGGCAGTAGGAGGGCAATTTCTCAGTCAAAGAGGGGGAATGTGGGCTTCCCTGGTGGCGCAGTGGTTGAGAGTCCGCCTGCCAATGCAGGGGATACGGGTTCGTGCCCCGGTCCGGGAGGATCCCACATGCCGCGGAGCGGCTGGGCCCATGAGCCATGGCCGCTGAGCCTGCGCTCCGCAAAGGGAGAGGCCACAACAGTGAGAGGCCCGTGTACCGCAAAAAAAAAAAAAGAGGGGTAATGTGATTGCTACTAGGAAAAATTTTATAGAAAAGGGCAGGTGGGCATATCCTGTGGGGTCAAATCCACATTCATAGGGACTTATTTTTTCTGTTTTAAGTGTTTAGCTGAGGGAATCAGAAGGCGATGAGTACGAGCAACAAGGCCAGTGCTGTATTTGTTAGTAGGGTTACTATTAAGTTTCTTATTCTTTTTCGGAGTGTACCAAAACTAACTGATTGGAATTCAGTTGTACTAATTAATACTAAAAGAATTATGAGCCTCATCAATAGATGGATACGTAAAGGAATAGTCACACAACATCTACAAAATGTCAGTATCAAGCAGCGGCTTCAAAGCCGAAGTGGTGGTTGGATGTGAAGTGGAATTTTAATTGGCGCAGAAAACAGACAATAAGGAAGGTGGACCCAATGATTACATGCAGTCCATGGAACCCTGTGGCCATGAAGAAAGTTGATCCATATACTCCATCTGAGATTGTAAGTGGAGCTTCATAATACTCTGTGGCTTGTAGGAGTGTAAAATATATGCCCAGGGCAATTGTAATAAAGAGGGCTTGGAGTATGTGCTTGTGATTTCCTTCCGTAAGGCTGTGGCGGACTCAAGTAATAGACACGCCAGAGGCTAGTAGCACTGAAGTGTTGAGAAGCAGTACCTCTAGGGGGTTTAGAGGGCAAATGCCTGCTGGTGGCCAGCACCCGCCTAATTCAGGAGTAGGGGCGAGGCTTGAGTAATAGAAGGCTCAAAAGAAGCTGGTAAAAAAGAAGACTTCTGAGACGATAAATAAGATTATCCCATATCAAAGCCCTTTTTGGACAATTGGTGTATGGTGGCCTTGGAAAGTGCTCTCCCGAATAACATCTCGCCACCACTGATACGTTGTTAGAGTATTAGTTAGTAGGCCTAATATTAGTAGTATTATTGAGTTGAAGTGGAATCACATGATTAGGCCCGATGTTATTAGGAGGGCTGAAAGGGCTCCTGTAAGGGGTCAAGGACTGGGCTTTACTATGTGGCATGTGTGGGTCTGGTGGGTCATTATTATTGTCATGCAGATAAAGGCTTACTAGGAGGGTAAACACATAGGCTTCAATTATAGCAACCGCAAATTCGAGGATAGTTAAGTAGGGTAAGAATGATGAATGTAATAAAAGCTGTGGTAGTGCTGATGCTGTGCTAAAGTTGTCCCTCCAATTAGATGTATTAATAAATGTCCTGCTGTAATATTGGCTGTTGATCGCACAACTAGTGCTACTGGTTGGATAAACAGGCTAATAGTTTTGATAATCACTAGTATGGGGATGAGGGGGGGAGGGTGTGCCTTGTGGCAAGAAGTGAGCTAGAGATATTTTTGTTCTGTTATGAAAACTTGTAATCACGGTGCCCGCTCATAGGGGAACTGCTACTCCTACATTTACTCAGAGTTGCGTGGTGGGTGTAAACGAGTGGGGAAGTAGTCCTAGAAGGTTGGTTGACCCAATAAATAAAATGAGTGATATTAGAATTAATGATCAAGCCTGTCCCTTGTGATTATGGGTGCTTATTATTTGTTTTGATGTAAGTTGGACTAGTCATTGTTGAAGGGAAATTATGTGATTATTAGTCATTTTGATGTTGGAAATAAAATACTTTTAAACATAATAATTAAAATAACTACAGGGAGGCCTATTATTGTTGGGGTTATGAAAGAGGCAAATAGATTTTCATTCATTTTGTTTCTCAAGGGGTGGACTGTTTTTACACTTTGGTGCGTGTTGATTCTGGGTTGGGGTAATAAGTATACTTTGTGACTTTTAGTTGAAATATAATAAACAGTGTTAGAAACATAGATGAGATGGTAAGGAATCATGTTGATGTATCTAATTGTGGCATGCCATTAAGGACAGTCTCAGCTCTCGGTCTTTAACTTAAAAGGTTAACGCTACCTAGCTTCTTAATGAGTTTAGAATATTGATGCGGATCATTTTCCGAAGTATTTTAAGGGTACTATTTCAAGGACAATTGGCATGAAGCTAAGGTTTGATACACAAATCTCTGAACACTGTCCGTAATACAAACCTGGTCGTACTGATATTAGGGTTGTTTGATTTAGGCGCCCTGGGATTGCGTCTGTTTTCAGGCCTAGGGAAGGTACGGCTCATGAGTGTAATACATCTTCAGAGGAGATCAGTATTCGGATTGTTATTTCTATGGGCAACACTACTGGGTTATCTACTTCTAGCAGTTGTAATTCCCCTGGTTTTAAATCTGATGCTGGGATTATATAGGAGTCAAAATTTAAGTCTCTGTAGTCAGTGTACTCATAACTTCAGTATCATTCGTGGCCTATAGTTTTTACAGTAAGGGACGGGTTGTTGATCTCATCTATCATGTACAGGATTCGCAACGATGGCAGGGCAATTAAAATCAAGATAATGGCCGGTAAGATGGTTCAGATGGTTTCTACTTCTTGTGCGTCTATTGTGCTGGTACATGTTAGCTTAGCTGTTAGCACTAGTGAGATGATACAAAAAACCAGAGAGCTAATTAAGAAGACAATTATTATTAGTGTGTGGTTGTGAAAGTGTAGCAATTCTTCCATGATGGGTGATGTTGAGTCTTGAAACCCTAGTTGGAAAGGATATGCCATAGAGATAAACAGAATTTCCACCTGTGACTTAACTTTGACAAAGTTACATAAAATTCTACTAATATCTCATTTATGGAGAAAGACATAGTGGTTATGATGTTGGCTTGAAACCGATAAAAGAGGGTTTGACTCCTTCCTTTCTTGACTATTTTAGACTGACGTTAAGTTGGCTCCTCAAATGTATGATATGGTGGAGGACATCCATTTAACCACTCTAAGTTTGTAGTAGTAAGTTCTACTGCTAGAACTTCTCGTTTGGATACGAATTCCTCTAAGATAATGGAAATTATCACCATGACAGCTGTTAATAAGATGAATGAGCCTATTGATGAGATAGTGTTTCATGTTGTATACGCATCTAGGTAGTCGGAGTATCGTCGAGGTATGCCAGATAGACCTAAAAAATGTTGTGGGAAGAAAGTTATGTTGACACTCACAAATATGATTACAAAGTGAATTTCTGCTCATGTTGAGTTGAATGTATATCCTAAGAATAGTGAGAATCAGTGCACAAACCCTCCTGTGATAGCGAAAACAGCCCCCATTGAAAGTACATAGTGAAAATATGCGACTACATAGTAAGTATCATGAAAGACAATATCTAATGATGAGTTAGCTAGGACAATACCTGTTGGCCCACCGACTGTGAAAAGGAAGATGAAACCCAGGGCTCACATCATGGCTGGGGACCATTTAATGTTACCTCCATGGAGTGTTGCCAGTCAACTAAACACTTTCTCTCCTGTTGGGACAGCGATGATTATAGTGGCTGATGTAAACTATGCTCGTGTGTCAACATCTATACCCACTGTGAATATGTGGTGGGCTCAAACAATGAACCCTAAGTATCCAATTGACATTATAGCTCATACCATACCCATGTACCCGAAAGGCTCTTTTTTTCCTGAGTAATAGGTTACAATGTGTGAAATCATTCCAAATCCGGGCAGGATTAAAATATACTTCAGGGTGTCCAAAGAATCAAAACAGGTGTTGATATAAGATGGGATCTCCCCCTCCTGCAGGGTCAAAAAACGTTGTGTTTAAGTTTCAGTCAATTAGCAGTATAGTGATTCCGGCTGCTAGTACAGGTAAGGATAATAGAAGTAATACTGCTGTGATTAATACTGATCATACCAATAACGGTGTTTGATATTGGTTTATAGTGGTGGGTTTATATTAATAATAGTGGTGATAAAATTGATAGCCCCTAGAATTGAGGACACACCAGCTAAATGTAGGGAAAAAATAGTAAGGTCAACTGAAGCTCCTGCATGTGCTAAATTTCCAGCCAAGGGTGGATATACGGTTCAGCCTGTACCTGCACCAGCTTCAACTATTGACAATGCCAGCAACAATAAGAAAGGAGGAGGGAGTAGTCAAAAACTCATGTTATTCATATGGGGGAAAGCCATATCAGGTGCTCCAATTATTAGAGGCATAGCCAGTTTCCAAAGCCACTTATCATAACGGGTATGACCATAAAGAAAATTATTACAAGTGCATGGGCTGTTACTACCACATTATAAATTTGGTCGTCTCCGAGCAGTGTTCCAGGCTGACCTAATTCAGCACGAATTAGTAGGCTCAGGCCTATACCTACTATTCCAGCTCAGGCACCAAATAGCAAATATAAACTACCAATGTCTTTGTGGTTGGTTGAGAATAATCAGCGGTTTTTGAACATAGGTAAAATGGCCAGAGTAGGCATTAGACTGTAAATCTAAAGACAGAGGTGATGTCCTCTTTTTGCCAAGCCCTGTGGTGTATTGTTCATATTGAATTGCAAATTCGAAGAAGCAGCTTCAACCCTGCAGGGGCTTCTCCAGCTGTTTTTTTTCCTGCTGCGGGAGAAGTAGATTGAAGCCAGTTGACTAGGGTATTTAGCTGTTAACTAAAAATTCTTGGGAGATGTATCCCTCCAATCTAGTGAGGATTAGCTTCATTAAAGTGTTTGATTTGCATTCAGTTGATGTAGGATATAGTCTTGCAATCCTTATTAGGCAGGAATTAAGTAAATTATACTTGCTTAGGGTTTTGAAGGCTCTTGGTCTGTTTTAACCTAAATTCCTATTCCAACACTGATAGTATTGGTGTGAGGGGCAGAAGTATTGTGGATATTACGATCATAGTTGGTAGGAGGATTATTTGTTTTGCAGAGTCAAACTGTCATTTTATTTTCACGTTTTTTATGGAGGGGAACGTGGTCAGCACTGTGGAGTATGTGAGTTGCATGTAGAAGTACAGGTTAAGTAGTGCTGTGATGGCTATAAGTGTGGGTAAAATAATATTATTGTTTTTTGTTATTTCTTGAATAATTATTCATTTAGGCATGAATCCTGATAGTGGTGGGAGTCCCCCTATTGATAGTAGAGTGCCTAGGGTAAGGGTTGTGACAACAGGTGTTTTGTTTCATGTGTGTGACAGTGACAGTGTAGTAGTGGCTGAGCTGTGAATAAATAATATGAATATAGTGAGGGTTATTATAGTGTAGATTACTAGGTTTAGAGTTGTTATAGTTGGGTTGTATAGTAAGACAGCTGTTATTCAACCTATGTGGGCGATTGATGAGTAAGCCATGATTTTTCCGAGTTGGGTTTGATTTAATCTACTTCACCCTCCGATTAGAATGGACGGTATGGATAGGGATAGTATTAGGTTTAGGTTGATTGATGGTGAGATTTGCTAAAGGATTGATAGAGGCGCAAGTTTTGGTCATGTCAATAGAATTAGGCCTGCCATTAATGGGATGCCTTGTGTTACCTCGGACACTCAAAAGTGAAAAGGGGATAGTCCTAGTTTTATGGCCAGGGCTACTGTTACTACTGTTGATGCTGTTGGGTTGAATATTTTTGTAATAGTTCATTGGCCGGAATATAGTAAGTTAATGATGACTGCTATTATAAGTAGCATGGATGTGGTAGCTTGTGTTAAGAAATATTTAGTGGAGGTTTCAATGGCTAATGGGTTAAAGTTTTTTTTTATTATAATGGGGATAATGGCTAGTATATTTATTTCGATCCAATTCAGGCTAGCAATACACCCAAACCAGTTGACACCAGGAGGAGGTACCCATTTTCTGTTCTCCTTTTAACAGTCACTAACCCATGTGTAACATTTGAATCAGATTCTATTTCTCTCTGACATAGTTCCTCTTCTTCCCTGTCTCTTCCTCAAGATACCAAACAGGTTGCTGTTAAGGTTAAATAAGTGCCCTCTTCGAAGCACCAATAATTCGTTTTTGTTAAATGCCACCAGATGCCCAATGGATTAGTCTTTTGCTTTCTTCGAACAATGATCAGTCAAGCAGTCAGCTTCTATATAGGAATGACCAACCAAAGCATATAGGCCCCTCTGGAGGGGAATATCTTTGTTACTTGGTGCCTTAGGGCACAACATGCCTTACTTTAAGTCTTATTTGTTATATCTAAGCTTTGTTTAAAATCTATTCAAAGCAGCCTCTGACCCCAGATTCCCAAAAATGAACAGTATAAAGCAGGTTTTCAAATAAGAAGAGAACCTGGCGATTATCTATGTTCTTCATTTTAAGGCCCACAGTGGCTTCCTAGAGCCCAAATTATGACACAAAGACAAATTATGCATTATCTCTGTCCCCAAGGAGTTGACCACCTAGCGGGAATACCAACAAACAAATCAACAACACTATCCTGTGTGATAGATACTATGGGAGAATAAGGTAACGCAGGTACCTCAGAAGGATAGGTTGGAAGACTTTTCTGAAGAAGGCAACAGTTTTACTGTACTTTGAAGGAAGTGAATGGGCCAGTGAGATAAAGAAATAGAAAGGCAGTAGGGCCTTCTAGGCAAGGGTAAGCATAAAACTTTGGAAGAACTGGGAATAATTCAGTACTCTAAAGGATAAACCTTAAAAAGTGGCTGGAGAGGAGGACACTAGGGGGTCAAAATTTGAATGCACACAAGTTACATAAATGGGTGAAACTTCATGGATGAGGTCTCTGGTAAATTAATGTCCTCTCTAAAGAGCAAATGTCAGTATAGCCAATTGTCACCATGTGAGGGGATAATCTTATAATCTGAAGAGAAGCCAGAAATCTTTTAATTTTTAAATCAGTGTTGGTACCAAATTTTAAAGAAAACATGGTACAAACAAGACCAAACACATATGTGAGTTGAATTTTGCTAATAGCCTGCCAGTTTACAACCTCAGGGCTAGAGAGTTAGGCCAGGAGCAGCTCATGAAAGGCTCTGTGTACT